GCCCAGGATCTAAGCACCCCCTCGGGTCCTAGGCTTCAGGCTCAACACCACAGTTCCACACTAGGCCTGCCTTTGTGGGTGCAAGCACCAAGCCTGTCCCCAGTGGACCCTGGCACCAGGCCAGCCCCTGTGGACCCAGGCTCCAGGCCCACCCCTGTGAACAAAGGCACTAGTCCTGTCCCCACAGACTCAGTTTCCAGGCCCACTCCAGTGGTCCCTGGTGCCTAGTCAATTCCCATGGATCAAGGATTCAGGCCCACCCAGGCAGACCCAGGTCCCAGGCCCAACACCACAAACTCAAGCACCAGGCCTGCCAGTGGGCTCAGGTGATAGGACCAACTTCATGGACCCAGGCTCCAGGATCACCTCTGCAGACTCAGGCACTAGATCTGACCACCTACTGACCCAAACACAAGACTGGCCAGGCCAAGGATTCCAGCATCAAGCCCACCTACAGACACCACAAGGTGGCCCACCCAGAATCTGGTCAGGGTGACTGGTGAAGGCCTTTACCTGCCAAAGTGAGTCGGTAAAGACTAGGAGAGGTGCCTACATCTTGAAATATTCTGACACTAACACAAAGCCATATGGATCATGAATAATTAAAGAAACACAACACCACCAAAACTGATCAATAAAACAAGAATAACCAACCCTATAGAAATGGAGATCTACTAACTGCCTGACAAAAAATTCAAAATAATCCTCTTAAAGAAGCCCAGTGAGCCTCAGAAAAATACAGATAGATGACTAAATGAAATCACGAGAACAATACATGAACAAAATGTGAAGTTTAACAAAGAGGAACCATAGAAAAGAATAAAACAGAAATTTCTGGAGCTGAAAAACACAATGATGGAACTGAAAAATTTTTACACAGCTTCAGCAGAAAGCTTGATCAAGCAGAAGGAAGAATCAGTGAGCTCAAAGACAGATCATTTGAAATTACCCAGTTAGAAGAACAAAAAGAAAAAAGAATAAAGAAAGCCTGTGGGACTTATGAGATACCATAAACAGAAAGAGTATATGCATTATGGGAGTCCCAGAAGGAGCAGAGAAAGAGAAACAGGGAAGAAAACTTATTTAAAGAAATAATGACAGAAAACTTCCCTAATCTGGAAATGGAAATGAACATCCAGATTCATAAGGCCCAAAGAACTCCAAATAGATGAAATACAAAGAGATATTAACCAAGAAATATAATCAATTTCTCAATAGGCAAAAGCAAGGGGAGAATTTTGAAAACAGCAAGAGTAAAGCAACTTGTCATAAACAAAGGAACCCCGATAAGATTATCATGAGATTTTTCAACAGAAATCTTGCAGGCCAGCAGAGACAGATGATATATTCAAAGTGCCAAAAGAAAAAAAAACTGCCAACCAAGAAACTACAGCTGCCAAGACTGCGTTCAGAAATGAAAGAGAGAGAATAACTTTCCCAGACAAAGAAAAAATGTGTAATTTCATCACCACTAGACCTGCCTTACAAGAAATACTAAAGAGAGTTATTCAAGTTGAAATGAAAGGATGCTAACAACATGAAAACATGTGAAAGTATAAAACTCGCTGTCAAGGTAAGGATATAGTCAAATTCAGAATACTCTAATACTGTAATGGTGGTGAGTAAATCACCTTTTACTCTGGTATAAAAGTTAAAACCCAAAAGTATTAAAAATAACTATAGCTACAATGTTTTTTAATGTATATAACGTATATGAAAGATGTAAATTGTGACAACAATAACAAAATATGAGAGGAGGGGAAGTTAAAGTGTAGAGTTTTGTATGTAGTTGATTTTAAGCTGTTATCTATCATCTTAAAATAGAATGTTATAACTATAACATGTTTTATGTTAGCCTCATTTTAACCACAAATTTCAAACGACCTGGAAAAGATAAACATAACATAAAGAGAAAGGTACCATTCCAAAAAGTAAATCAAAGAGGAACACAGCTAGTGAAGAAGAAACAAAATAATGTCAAAACAATTGGAAAAAAGATTAACAAAATGACAGTAGTAAATCCTTACTTATCAATAATTACTTTAAATATAAATGGATTAAATTATCCAATCAAAATACACAAGGTTACTAATTGAAATGAAAACAAGATCCAACAATAGTCTGCCCACAAGAGACTCTGTTTAAGGACACAAGTAGGTTGAAATAGAAAAAGATATTTCATGCAAATAATGACCAAAGAGAGCATGGGTGGCTATATTTATATCAGACAAAATAGACTTTAAGTTAAAAACTGTCAAAAGAGTTAAATAATGTTACTATTTTATGATAAAGGGGTTAATTCATAAACAAGATGTAAATATTGTAAATATAAATGCACCCAATATCAGTGCACCTAAATATTTAAAGGAAATGTTCCAGGACTGAAGGGAGAAATAGCAATACAATAATAGTGGAGGATCCAACTTCAACAATGGATTTATCATCTAGACAGAAAATCAATAAGGAAACAGCAGATTTGAACAACAAAGAATGAAGAAAACCTATGGGACTTATGAGATATCATAAACAGAAACAATATATGCATTATAGGAGTCCCAGAAGGAGCAGAGAAAGAGAAAAGGGGCAAAAATCTTATTTAAAGAAATAATGAAGATTCAATATAGAACATTTATTCAATGTAGAAGATTCATTCAATATAGAATAGACCTAAAAGATATATACAGATCATTCCATCCAACAGTAGTAGAATATGCATTCTTCTCAAGTGCACTTGGGATATGCCCCAGAAGAGATCAAAAGAAAAATAAAAAATTATCTTGAGACAAATGAAAGTGGAAACCCAATATGCCAAAACTTATGTGATGTGTTAGAAGCAGTTTTGAGAGTAAGTTTATAGCAATAAATGCCTATATGATGAAAAAGAACCATCTCAAATGAACAACCTAACTTTAAACCCCAAGGACCAGAAAAACTAAACTTAAAGTTGGCAGAAAAAAAGGCAATTATAAAGATCAGAGCAGAAATACATGAAATAGAAACTAGAAAAATCAATGAAAATAAGGGTCGGGTTTTGAAAAGATAAAATTGGCAAAGCTTTATAAAGTTAGACTAAGAAAAAAGAGAGAAGACTCAGATAAATAAAATTAGAAATGAAAACAGACATTATATCTGATACTAAAGAATTACAAGGGATCATACGAAACTACTATGAATGTGTATATGCCAACAAATTGGATAACATATAAAAAATGATATGCTCCTAGAAATATACAACCTATTTTTCAAGAATTAATTATAGAAAAATAGAAACTCTGAACAGACCAATAAAGAGTAAGGAGATTTAATCAGCAATCAAAAATCTCCCAATAAATAAAATCCCAGCAGATGATGACTTTACTCTTGAATTCTACCAAACATTTAAAGGGGAATTAACACCAATAAAAGTACTTCTTAAACTCTTCCAAAAATTGAAGAGGAGGGAAGACTTCCAAACTCATTTTAAAGGTCAGAATTATTCTCATACCAAAGCCAAACAAAGACACTACAGGAAAAGAAAATTACAGGCCAAAACTCTTATAAACATTGGTGCAAAAATCCTCAACAAAAGACTAGCAAACCGAATACAATAGTACATTAATAACATCATACATCATGATCAATGGTGGGATTTATCCCTGGGATGCAAGGATGGCTCAACATACACAAATCAGTAAATGTGATATACCACATGATAAGAATGAAGGATAAAAATCAGATGATCAACTCAATCAATTCAGAAAAAGCATTTGACAAAATTCAACATCCATTTATGATAAAAGCTCTCAACAAAGTGGGTATAAAGGGAACGTACTTCAACATAATAAGGGTCATATATGACTAGCCCACAACTAACATCATACTCAATAGTGTAAAGCTGAAAACTTTTCCTCTAACACCAGGAACAAGACAAGAATCCCCACTCTCACAACTTCTATTCAGTGTAGTAGTGGAATTTTAACCAGAGCAATTAGGTGAGAAAAATAACTAAAAGTCATCCAAATCCAAATCGAAGTAAAATTGTCTTTCTTTGTAGATGACATGATCTCATAGATAAAAATCCCCAAATACTCCTCCCAAAAAACTGCTACAATAAACTTGTTCAGTAAAGTTGCAGGATACAAAATCAACATGCAAAGTTCAGTTATATTTCTATACATTAACAACAAACTATTTGAAAAAGAAATTATGAAAACAATTCCATTTACAATAGCATAAAAACAATAAAATAGGAATCAGTTTAACCAAGGAAATGAAAGATCTGTACCCTGAAAACTATAAAACATTGATGAAGGAAATTGAAGAAGACACAAACAAGTGGAAAGATATCCTGTGTTCATGGATCAGAAGAATTAATATTGTTTAAATGCCCATACTATTAAAAATAATCTATGAATCAATGCAATCTCTACTAAATTCCAATGGGATTTTTGACAGAAATATTTTTAAAAATCCTAAAATTTATGTGGAGCCACAAAAGACTACAAAAAGCCAAAGCAACCTTGAGAAAAAAACAACATGACTATAGTTAACACTGCTGTATGGATATTTGAAAGTTGCTACAACTAAATCCTAAAAGTTCTCATCACAAGGGAAAAACATCTTTTTGGTAACTAAATTAGGTGATGGATGTTAACTTATTGTGGTAATCATTTCTCAATATATGTAGATCAAGTCGTTATTCTGTACACTTAAACTTACACAGTGGGGTATGTCACTTATATCTCAATTAAAAAAATTAAAAGTAAAATTATCTTATGATCCATCAATCCCACTGCTGTGTATGTATCCAAATGAAATCAAATTAGTATCTTGAAGAGATATCTGCACTTTCATGTTTATTGCAGCTTATTCACAATAGCCAGGATATGGAAACAACTCAAGTGTCTGTTGACAGATGAATGGATAAAGAAGATTTGGTGTATATATATATACAATGGAATACTATTCAGCCATGAGAAAGAAGGAAATCCTGTCATTTGCAACAACCTGGATGATCCTGGAGGATGTTATGCTAAGTGAAATAAGGCAGACAGAGAAAGTCAGGTACTATATGATCTCACTTACATGTAGAATCTATAAAAAAAATTAAAAAGTTGAACTCATAGAAGCAAATATTAGACTGGTGGTTACTACAGACTGGGAGGAGGTAGGGGAACTGGAAAGATGTTGGTCAAAGGGTGCAAAGTTGTGGTTATGTAGGATCATTAAGTCTAGTGAACTAATGTACAGAAATGATGATTATATTTAATAATACTATGTTGAATACTGGAAATATGCTAAGAGAGTAGATTCCAGATGATCTCATCACAAAAAATGGTAACTATGTGAGATATATTAGACTGTAGTAATCATTTCACTGTGGATATGTATATCAAATAATCATGTTGTACACCTTAAATATATACAATTCTTATTTAAAAATATATCACTTTTTAAAACAAAGAATGAAATTCTGATACATGTTACAATATGGATGAACTTTGAAGAAAATAAGCTAAGTGAAATCAGCCAGACCCAAAAAGACAGATATTGTATGATTCTACTTATATGAGGTACACAGAGGAGTCAAATTCATAGGGACAGAAGTAGAATGGTGGTTACCAAGGGTTGAGGAAGAGATGAATGGAGAGTTATTGTTTAATGGACACAGAGTTTCAGTATGGAATGGTGAAAAGTTTCTGGAAATGAATAGTGTTGATAGTTTCACAATAATGTGAATGTACTTAATGTGACTGAACTGTACTCTTAAAAATGATTAAAATGAGAGCCAATCCTGATTTCCTAGTGGTTAAAGTTCAGCACACTCTGCCTCAGTGGCCCAGGTTCAGTTCCTGGGTGCAGAACCACAGCACTCATCAGTCAGTAGCCATGCTGTGGCAGCGGCTTACATTGAAGAACTAGAAGGACTTACAAGTAGGATATACAGCTATGTACTACGGCTTTGGGGAGAAAGAGAGAGAAAAAAAAGAGGAAGATTTGCAGCAGATGTTAGCTCAGGGTGAATCTTTCCCAGAAAAAAAAACTGTATTAGAAAAAAAACAATTAAAATAGTAATTTTTGTTGTATATATTTTTCCACAATAAAAATAGTAAAATTAGAAGTCTCTTAGGAAACTTAAGTCAACAGTGGTTGAAATCTTCAAAAATATCAGTATCAGTGCATAGTAAAATTCTTAGTATAAGAGTGGGGTGTTTTGTATACCAAAATATGACAAATTTGTTCAATGTGATCATAATAACTGAAATATTTTTTAAAATAATAGAATAACTGCTTTTAACCTACTTATAAAAATATTCCAAGTTTACAGATAACTTGTTTGATATTTCTAGATGTTCTTCATTCTCTGAGGTAAACATTTTTTTTTTTTACAAAATACAGGTATTTTCAACACTTGCTCTCTTCTGAATCATGTTTTCTGTCCTATCATTCAGTCGTGACTCTCCCGAAAAGAAGTTTTTAGGCAAGAAGGCCTGATTGCTAAGCAGTGAGTATCAAAAGCTTTAACTCTTAAATTTATAAGGTATATTTTTCATTATTTAAATTATAATAATAATCCAATACAATCAAAATTCTAATTTGACAGCATGAGCCTGTGTTTGAAAGCTTGAGTTCAAATTTGAATAAGTGGAAACAGTTTTTTCAATGTCTTTTGATGATTTAATATATAAAGTTTATGGATACAAATTATTTCAGGAATTATTCAGTAGAGTGTCCTGAATATGCTTGGCATTTTCCTTCATTGTAGGTATGTATGTTTAAAAATACTGTCTTCACCTTTCTGTCACCTCATGAATAGGTTTTCTGGATCTGTAAGATTGTTACAATAATACTTACCCTTTTTATGTAATTTATAATTTATATAATTTTCATATTCATCATCTAGTTTTATTTCAACCTCACAACACCTAAGGAAGGCAGGGAAGTTTTTCTGACCTCTTTTTGTTTACTGAGAGACCTGAACCTTAAAGGGGTTAACCTGCTTAGGATCTATGGATTGTTAGGGAGTTAAGATCTTCCAGCCTGGCCTTTTTCTATTATAAATGAGTAAGCTGAGGCCCAAAGAAGTCACAGAGCTGAAGAAGTCATTTCCTTGGTAACATAGTTATTTATTGCAGGTCTGGGACTAGAATATGTCTCCTAAATCCTAGTCTAACATGCTTGACAGAACCCAAATGCTGTCTCTAAATAGTAGTTGTAGATTAGAAAGTGCTTCTACTTTATTAATTTCCTAAAAATCTTCTGTATTGAAGAAGTTAAGTAGATCAGAACATATACAAACTTTAGTTTTAAACTACTTAACTTAGTACATAAGAACAAATATTCATTCAGCAAACATTTACTGAGTGCGTAATATGTATCAGAACAATACTAAATGCCATGGATAAAAGATAAATAAGACACTGCCCCATTCTAAATATAAACTCCACATTTACAATTTAGTGGGTAGGTAAACACATAAATAACTGTAGAGCTCTGTATTAGTTTTCTATTGCTGTGTAAGTAATTAGCACAAATTTAGCAGCTTAAAACAGCACACATGTATTATCTTACAGTTTCCATGGGTCAGGAATCTGGCCATAGCTTAGCAGAGTGCTCTGCTTAAGGTCTCACAAGGCTGCAATCAAGCTGTCTGCTGGGGCTGTGGTCTCTTCTGAGGCTCAGCACCCTCTTCTAAGCTTATGTGATTGTTAGCAGAGTTAATTTCTTTGCACCTGTAGAACTCATGGAAGATTGCTTCTTCAAAACCAGCAGGAAGGAATGTCTTTGATCCTTTAAGTCTCTGACCTCTAGATCCTATTTTAAAGAACACCTGATTAGGTAAGGCCCACCCAGAGTGTCTCTCTTTTAATTAACTCAAAGTCAACTGATTAGGGACTTTAGAGATATCTGAAAATATCCCTTCACTTTTGCCATATGATATAAACTAATCATGGGAAGGGCATACATCATATTCACTGGACCTGTCCACAATCAAGAAAAGGGGATTATACTGGACATTTACACCAGGGGGTGCATAAATCTGGGAGCCAACTTACAATTCTGCCTACCACAGTTGCAATCAACTTAAAAATTGACTTTAACTCTAATAAAGTTTATTTAACACAAGTTTATTTTTGAGTAATAGCTTTACTTTTGAGTCTTAAATGTATCAATGAAACTCAGCAAATTTTATGTTTAAATTTTATTGTTTTAATTACAAAGGACTGTAGAAATACACTTTTACAAAAATTCAGGCATTAAGGATAAAGGTAAAGTTTCCTACACCATCACCCACAATTCTAGTCCCTTCCCCAGAGGAAACCACTGTTAATAGTTTAGTGTATATCGTTTCAGACTTTTACTCATGCGTTTTTAAATGCATGTATACCTGTAAAAATGTATATTATCATTTTATGCATTAGTAGTATATGACTAAGATCATACTGAAAATATCATTTTCCATTTTGTCTTTTACACAGCAATATGTCTTTATTTTGTCTATCCAGCACAGATAATTTTACTTAATTATTTTTAAACTATTACTTAATTTTCCATAACATGGAGATACCATAGTTGATTTTTCCATTTCCCATTGTGGACTTTTGGTTTGTAATTTTTCACAATATCAAGTACTGCTCCAGTGAGTATCATTTTGTAGGATTGCTTTTGCTTATGTTTCAGTGTTTCCCTAAGGTAGATAGCATTAAGTGAAACTGTTGGGTCATAGGAATGCACTTATATTTTTTCTACACTGTACTAAGTTAATCAGTATTCATATCCACTCCTTTTTGTGTTCTTGGACTGTGGTCTCATTTTTATTTTTATAACTCAAATGGGCATAGCTTGGTATGATTAATCACCCTTGTCAATTCAAACACTTCCCTCATTTTGTGCATATCTTTGCATATCCCTTTTATTTGTCATCTCCTGTCTTATTCACTTTTCCCACCTTCTTTTGAGCACATTCCCCCATGTATTATATAAATAGTTTCCTTTGTATATTTACTTACATAATCACAAAACATACCATTTTATTTTGCTATTTAAAATTATGTAAACAATATTTGCTGTACTTATTCTTTTGCACTCAATAACTTTTTGTTTTATTGAGGTATAATTTATATATACTGATATTTGCCCATTTTAGGTATACAGTTCTATGAATTATAAAAAAGCACACAGTGGTGCAATGGCCACCATAATCAAGGTGTAAATTAGTTATGTCACTTCCAAAAGTGTCCTCATGCCACTTTGTATTCATCTCATCACTTTACCCCCATCCCCTAGCAACCACCAATCTTTTCTCCAGTACTACAATTTTGTCCTTTCCAGAATGTCATATAACTGGAAGCATATAGGGTGCAGTTTTTTGAGTCTGGCTTCTTTTACTTTGGCTCATGCTTTTGTGATTCACTTGTGTTGTTTCAAGTATTAGTAGTTTATTCTTCCTTTTTATTGATGAGTAGTATTTTATTGTGTGGATATATCCCAATTTGTTTCTCTATTCACCAATTGAGGGACATTTGGACTATTTCTAAATTTTGGTGATTATGAGGAAAGCTGCTGTAATCATCCACATATAGAGTTTTATAAGGATAAGTGTGTTCATTTCTCTTAGGTAAATATCTAGGAGTAGGATTGTAGGATTATGAGGTAAGTGTATGTTGAACTTTATAAAAATACTTCCAAACTGTTTTCTAAAATGACTGAACCATTTCATATTCACAACAGCAATGTGTGAGAGTTCCAGTTATTCTGCATTCTTGCCAAACTCTAATTATATCAGTGCTTTGTATTTTAGCCACTCTAATAGTGATGCAACGGAATTTCATTGAATTCTTGTTTGCATTTCCCTAAACATCAGTGATGTTGAACATCTTTTTGTGAGCTTAATTTCCATTTGCATATCTTCTTTGGTAAATTGTTCACAACTTTTGCTCATTTTTCAATGCTGTTTTCTTTTTTATTATTGCATTTTGAGAGTTCTGTATATAGTCTAAGTACAAAAACTTTATGAGACATGTGTTCTGCACATTTTTGCCCCAGTTCATGGATTGTTATTTCATTTTCATAGCAGTGTATTGCAAAGAGCAGGAGGGTTTCTTTTTACTAGACTTTTTTTAGAGCAGTTTTAAGGTTACATAAAAATTCTGTAAAAATGTAGAGAGTTCTCTTAAAATACCTAGGAATAAATTTAAACAAGGTGGTAAAAGACCTATACACTGAAAACCATAAGACATTATTGAAAGAAATCAAAGAAGACATAAACAAATGGAAAAATATTCCATGCTCACAGATTAGATGAATAAACATAGTTAAAATGTCCATATTACCTAAAGCAATCTACATATTCAGTGTAATCCCAATGACGTTCTTCATGAAAATAGAAGAATCCTAAAATTTATGTGGAACAACAAAAGGCCCCAAACAGCCAAAGCCATCCTGAGAAAAAAGAACAAAGCTGGAGGCATCACAATACCTGACTTCAAAATACACTACAAAGCTCTAGTAATTGAGACACCATGGTACTGGCAGAAAAAGTGACACCCAGATCAATGGAACAGAATTGAGAGCCCAGAAATAAAACGACATGTCTATGGACAGCTAATCTTTAACAAAGGAACCAAGAACATACAATGGAGAAAGGAAAGTCTCTTCAATAAATGGTGTTGGGAAAACTGGACAGCCACATGCTAAAGAATGAAAGTAGACTATTATCTTACACCATACACAAAGAGTAATTCAAAATTGATTAAAGCCTTGAATGAAAGACCTGAAACCAGAAAACTCCTAGAAGAAAATATAGGTAGTATACTCTTTGACATCAGTCTTAGCAGTATCTTTTCAAATACCATGTCTTTTCAGGCAAAGGAAACATAAGAAAAAATAAACAAATGGAACTGCATCAGATTAAAATGCTTCTGCAAGACAAAGGAAACCATCACAAAAAGGAAAAGACAACCCACCATCTGGGAGAAAATATTTGCAAATCATATATCTGGCAAAGGATTAATTTCCAAAACATAAAGAACTCATACAACTCAAGAACAAAATAAGAAAACAATTAAAAAATGGGCAGAGGAGGGGGCTGACCCTGTAGCATAGTGGTTGAGTTCGGCATGCTCTGCTTTGACAGCCCAGGTTCACAGGTTCAGATCTCGGGTGTGGACCTCCACCACTCGTCAGTCATGCTGTGGTGGGGACCCACATATAACGTGGAGTAAGATTGGTACAGATCTTAGCTCAGGCCTAATGTTCTTCAAGGGAAAAAAGAGGAAGATTGGCAACAGATACTAGCTCAGGGCGAATCTTCCTCAGAAAAAAAATTGGCCGAAGATATGAACAGACATTTTTCCAAAGAAGATATACAGATGGCCAACAGGCATATGAAAAGATGTTCAACATCACTAATCATTAAGGAAATGCAAATCAAAACTACAATAAGATATCACCTCACGCTAGTCAGAATGGCTATAATTAACAATACAAGAAATAAATGTTGCA